TTGAATTTGTTTAGGATTATTCAAATAGAGCAGCCTTTAACGTCATGTTCCTGAAAATCCCAAAGGTAGCATTTAGAAGAGAAATTGAAGACTAGGTTGAAATAAGGACTAGGTTGAATCTGTGAAGGCCTGTGTATATGTATTTTATTGTCACTGAAAACAGTGTAAATAGCACCTAATTAAAGAGAATATTAATAAATTTTGATGTCTTTTAAATTTGGTTAATACATCTTAATTTTCAGTTATCATCTCTTGCTATTTGGAACCCTTTCTTGAAGTTTTCAACAAGGTTCTTGTAAACCTTTTCCCTTATATCAGCTTGTGCATACTATATTTTTATTTCTCCTGAGGCTTTTCTTCTCTCCAAATGCTCACTGTTTCTCTGATTTTATGACCAGAGTTGTTGATTTCTCACTGCTAGTTTCTACAGTAATTTAGAAGAGCACAGATACTTGTGTTAGACTGCTTGGATTTAGATTTCAGCGAAACCAACTACTAGATGTGTGACCTTTAGCAAATTACTTAACACGATGCCAGTTTCCTCATTTGCCAAAGTAGGATAAATAATGTTTTTTAGGATAGTTGTGATGTTAAATGAGATCATATGTATTAAGCCATTATAGCATTTCTTGGCACATAGTAGGAGCTCATTAAATTTAGATTATCCTGCATTGTTAGGAAGTATTTCTCAAATATACATTCTTAGCTTTGCCTGTAATAATATCATGCCTAAGCTTAAGACATAGAGGATTAACATGGTTTGGTAGGGAGAGACTCAAGAATAGATAATTCCAGGGATGGGGATGTAGATGAAATCTCTCAGAGAGAGTTTAGAATAAGTGAAACAGAAGGCCTAGGACAGAATAGTGAAGAATGGTGTATTTGTCTAGTGCTTTTTTTTGAATGATTTAGACTGTTTCATTCTATAAGTTAAAAAAGGGTGTATTTTGTAGGATGTCCTATTTCTGGTCTAACAAACAAAATTTTCAGTCATAGCAGTAATATTTACTAATAAAATTAAATGATTCTGTTTTTTAAGAGAAAAATTAGTAGTAAGAATTCTTACTGCTATAGAATGGTTATATCTTAATTTTAGTTCATTGCATGTATTTGGTTATGAATTTTATAACCTTTTATGAATACCTCAAGGTATCTAATCCAATCTAATACACAGGTTGAAATCTGTTAATTTAAATTTTTTAATTTTTAAAACTTGCCGATTTAGCAATATTTAGTAACATTAAAGTGTGGTCCCAGTGAATCTTTTTGGCTTTTTTCCTTCTGTGTCATAGAAGATGGATGCTGTGTATGATGGATTTGATGAGGCAAGTTGTGCTATAATGGTGCTTTAAAGTGAAAAAATAATTCATGCCAAATAAATTATGCCAAATAAGTCAGTGCAGCTATATTATCAAAGGAAGTGGTTTATTCTCTGTGGCCTAGTTGGTGTACTTTCTGAATGTGCAGTTGGTAACTAGAATTTAAATCTTTAGTCAGATTCAGTGAAATGATTTCATATTTTAAGTAGTTTTTCCATCAGAAACTTTACACTGATTTCTTTGAAATTTTGAAAGTCTTAATTTGTGTGTGTCTGTGTATATCTATATGTACCAAGATATTGAAACATTTATAGGAAAAATAATGATGATGGCAAAAAGTATACCTACTTGGAAAACCCCAGGTTTAAAAAAAAATAGCTTTAAATGATTTTTACACCCAAGGTGTTTTGATCTGAATGACTTTGAATTATAGATTTGTCTCATGTTAAAAAATTTATTATGAATTTATTTTGAATGCTTTTAAGCCATATAAATATAAAAATATTTTGCTTTTGAAATCTTTCAAATTACCCTTTTGTAATGTCAAAGTAATATATTCTTAACGTAGTAAAAGTGAAAAAATTCACTCATGATTTTCTTACCCAGAAACAACAATCATCATTGTGTTTTGCCATATTTTCTTTCAGTTTTTTTCCTATGCATTTTTATGTATATTACTAAGGTCGTATTGTACTTACAATTTTCTATTCTATAGTTTACTTCTTTTCATTATACATATAGTTATTAAGTATGAAATGTCTGATTTCCTTAAGTATTAAGTTTGACAGTTGATATCTCTAACATTTCACTTTAATGCTTCTAGTTTTATTTTTATTGCGAAGATACATCCTCAGTCTTGCAAATGCACGGTTTGGCTTGTGATTATCTGTCAAATTTTTTTTTAGAGCAATTTTTGTGAAACTGTGGATACATCAAAAATTCATGTTATTTTCAAATATGAGTTCCATCATGGAACCAGTACACTTCAGACAACTTGAAATATTAATATCAACAGAGTGTTTGGGAAGGAGGTGGCTAAGGAGCAACACAGTACGTTGATGGTTTAAGAAGTTCCATTCTGGTGATTTTAATCTTGAAAATGAGCCATGTGGGCGACCTGAGACCAAGATGGATGATGAGCTAAAAGCTGTAATGCAAGCAAATCCATCTCAACCTATGTGTGAATTAGCATCAAGGTTTAATGTTAATATTCCAACAATATTGGACCCTTTGAAACAAATGGACAAGATGAAGAAGCTAGATAGATGGGTTCCATATGAATTAAATGAGCATCAGAAGAAAAATCGTCTTGAAGCTTGCCTCTTTGCTGTCATAACATAAAGGCAAACCATTTGTACACTGTATTGTTAACGTGATGAAAAATGGATTCCTTTTGACAATTGCAAGCATTAGGCACAATGGTTGGATGAAGGTGAAGTGTCCAAACACAGTCGGAAACTGGATGTTCATCAAAAAAAGCTAATGGTGTGTGTTTGGTGGTCCAGAGTTAGTATTTTCCACTACAGCTTCATGATACCTGGCCAGTCAGTTACAGCAGATGTATATTGCAGCCAACTGGATGAAATGATGAAGATGCTTTTGATTAAGCAGCCAAGATTGGTCAATAGAGAAAGGCCAGTCCTCTTGCAAGACAACACTTGACCACATGTTGCACAGACAACACTGCTCAAACTGCAGAAGCTGGATTTGGAAACACTCTGTCATCCTCTGTATTCACCAGACCTTGCACCAACTGACTACCACTTCTTCAAGCTTTTGACCACTTTTTGCAAGGAAAAATACTCAAATTTTCAACAAGCTGTGGAAAACACCTTTCATGATTTCACTGCCACTTGCTCTCCAGGCTTCTTCGCTGCTGGCTCAAATAAGCTACCATTAAGATGGCAAAACTGTGTTGTTGTTTTAGGTGCACACTTTGCTTAATTCTACTGCTTCTTGTTTGAGATATAATAAACTATATTTTTGATTTGAAATCGGACATTTCATCTAAAAAGCTAGTGTTCTGTATTAGTGTTTTTACATCTTTGTAGGTACTGTTTAGATTTGAAATTACTTAATGTCACAAGTTTACTTTTTGAAATTGTCCCTTGTAATATTTCTCACATTTAGTTGAGGATTTTATGTGAATGGAAAAAACCACCTTGGTGGTTTTGATTGGGGTTTAACAACATTATTTCTTAGACAACAATTTTCATTTAACTAGTACCCTATTTTATGTCAATAATACTATTAAAATGTTCAGACATTTTGCAGTTGATGTCATTTAGAGATTAATGGTCTATATGTGTGTAGGAGGGATACTCACTGAATAGGCTAAGTAGATATTTTAAAAATAGAATTATAAGGGCATGAACTTTAAAAGGTCATCTGAACTAGTTTCCTGACTTGAGGCAGGTAGTCAAATATCTTTTTATTTATTTATTTTTATTTTTTGAGACAGAGTCTCGCTTTGTCACCTGGGCTAGAGTGTAGTGGAGTCATTATAGGTCATTGCAACCTCAAACTCCTGCGCTCAAGGGATCTTCCTGCGTCAGCCCTAAGTAACTGGGTCTACAGGGGCACACCACTATGCCCGGCTAATTTTTTTATTCTTTTGTAGAGATAAGGTCTCCCTGTGTCATCCAGGCTGGTCTTGAACTTCTGGCCTCAAGTGGTCCTTCTATCTTGGCCTCTTGAAGTGCTAGGATTACAGGCATGAGCCACCATGTTGGGCCCAAACATCTTTTTAGTTAGGAACCTCAAAACAGTCAAGTATAGGTGGTTGTAATTTGCAAAGAATGTTAAACTGGTGTGGACAAATTGTTTAATTTACATGAGCCTTACTTCTTCATCTATAAAATTAGTTTTATACCAGATAAGTAGTTCTACATCTTTTTTCTGTCCCAGGACATTTGAGAGAGCATATGTTGGCATCAGTGTCTCCCAGTGACAGTGATTTTCAAAGGGAGAGGAGCAGGAATGTACCTGTTCTTTTGATTCACTTGCTTCTCGCATGCTGGAAATTACTGGATTAGAAAATATGTTACTTTTATCCATATATAAAATTACATAATTTTGTTAAATATTTGAGTGCCTGGTATGTACCAGGCATTAGATTGGATATAGTGGGAAATATCAAAAAGTCATCTTCTGGAGCTCATAGGTTGTAGTGGTAGGGCACACGCTACATATTAATATTTTATAATACATACAGAAAGCAATATATACTATATTGGAATATACAATAAAAGCTCCTGATGTTCAGGTCATCATTTTGGTCTGGAGCTATCATTTTTAGCAATTTGTGATTATCACGTGTGACCTAAAATTGATAGCATTATGCTGTGATGTATGCTCTAAAGCCTAAATATTCCTTTTCCACCTCCTAAGTCAGCATGAGCAGAAGGTTAAGAAGATAGTATCCAGGTGTTTATTAATAGAGAGGACTAACCTAGCCTTCTAGTTTCCCAGTAGAAATTAAAATTGTTTTAAACAGAAGCTTTTCTGTTAAGCAGAGAATGATCTAAGTGCTAACTTTTAACTATATGTATTCTCAAGAGGTTTTGAAATGCAAACATTAAACCTTATCAGAATGATGGATTTTAGCATTAACTCTTATTCAGAATTATCTGAGTAGATATTAATGAAGATTAGCCCCACTAAACTGACAAAATCATGATCTGGACAAAGCATTAACATTTTTAGAGGCATTTGCTTAGCAGTTTTCATGTACATTCAACTTCAAAATGACCCTGCTTCGGTTATCTTGAGAACACCAACTCCATGAGGTCCTGAGGAGGTACAGCCAGAAGACATAGGGTAGAAAGGGGAGGGTGCCTTGGAAGCAGCCTAGAGAAAACAGGAGCAAAGTTCCATTAATTAGCCATGTGACCTTTGGAAATTTAGGTAAAAGGGACTGAACCAAGTGACCTTTAAAAATATGGTCTCCAAATTGCATGGTATGTGAATCTCAGTTCTATTTAAGGGCTCTTCAAGGAAAGTAAATACATTGTGTGCCTTCCTCTTTATTGAGTATTAAGTTCCTTTCTTGGCTGCCTTTTCACCTGTCATTTTCTGTAAGCTATCCAGGTCTTGAGTTACTTTTATGTGTTTTAATGATGTTCACATTTCTTCTGTAAGCCTAATTATCCACCTGTTTCTGTGGATTTCTATCTCTGTGTCTTGAATCTCAGACCCAATGTGTCTGTATTTGTTAACAGCATCTAGTCTTAGCAGTCACTTAAGCTTCTAATTTTTGCTTTCCTAACATTTAATTATTTACCTTGTTTTCATAATGTATTTTATTTCAAGCTTGTCCCTTCTTTTTTTCCTGTGCTGTAGTATCTGTTCAGCTACAGTCATAGTCCTTTTGGTCTGCAAAATTCTCTTAATTTCCGTTTCTTTTTTCTTTTCATCTTGTTTATCTTGATGTTCATCACATATGTTAGAATGAAAGCTGCCTAAAAACAGAGGCTGTTACTCATTTTTGTGTTCTGAGTGCCAAGAATATGTTATCATTTAATCTGAAAAAACTCTGAAGACCCAAGGTAGTATCTAAGCAGTGTTTAATAAAATAAACTCTTTGGTGACAGTTCCCATATAGTTAGGAGGAAGAAGTAGAGTTCCTCTATTGACTGTTATCATTTTGCACTGAATGAAAGGACTGTCCAGGAGAAACAAGATCCTGACCAGCAGACTTCTCTTAGCTCCCTGAAAGGTATTGCCCATTTGTTCATTAGACCGCCATCCACCCTTTCTTTCTTGGCAGAAAATCTGGTGAATGCTCTTTCTTTACCCCCTGCATCATTCAGGTGTTAAGGGTTCCCGATTTTACCTTGCACAGTTGTCTGTCTATATTGTCGGGGGATTGATTCCAAGATACCCTACCCCAAGTTCCTGATGGGGTAATATTTGCATGTAACTTAGGCATATCCTCTCATGTTCTTTAAATCATCTCTAGATTACTTATAATACTAACACACTGTAAATGCTATGCAAATAGTTGTTGTGTTGTTCTTTTATTTGTGCCATTTTTTTACTGTTGTATTTTAATTTTTTATTGTTTTCTTTTTCAAATATTTTCAGTCTGCAGTTGGTTGAACCTGTGGATGCAGAACCAAGGATATGGAGGACTGACTAGTACCTTTTAGATAGCCCTTTCTTCATCTCCATTGTTCTTATATCCATAGAGTTTCTCACATGTATTTGTATAAAAATCTACCTGTTCTCCTTTCAATCTTGCCTCCACAATCCGTTTCCCATTCTGTGTAAGTTTCAAAAGTACGATATGGTTTGTCATTCCAATGCTTAGATTCCTTCAGTGGCTCTTTTTATTTTTCAAAATCAAGTTAAGTGCCTTAAATATTATACATGGCCCTAAATGAGTTAGCTGCTTTTCTAACTTTATCACCGTTTTATCTCCTCTGTTTCCCAGCCATGCTGATCTACTGGCAGTTATGCATTGTGTCATATTCTCTGATCCCTTTTTCCCTCATTTTTTTTTTTTTCTCTGAGATTATTCTCAGATCCCACATAGTTGGCATTTCTCCTTTCTATGATGAATATGTGATTGCCAGACAGTAATTTGTTCAGTAAGTTCTCTGGTATCTAGTGAGGGAAAGGAGAAGGAAGTTGATGTTGTGATATTAGAGTCACAGACTTTCTGTCTGTGACAGAGTCACAGTGCTTTCTGTTAGTGATAGGAAGCACTGTGTACTGAATATATGCCAGACATTTCTCTAAGCCCTTTACCTGTATGAGCTCATTTAATTCTAACATCCTTGTTGGGTAGATACTATTATTTTATAGATGAGGAAACAAGGCACAGAGAGTTTATTCACTACATGACTTGAGCTCATGTAGTGGCAAGGCATGGCTTCAAACTCTGGCTATGTGGCAGCAAAGTTCGTGTCTGACTGACTTTGCTAACCTCTAAGTGGATGGTAAATTGGAGGTTTTTGATGTGGAGTAGGTATTGGTGTTCTCATTTGAGAGTGTGAGAGTATGCATGTAAACTTATATGTAGTTTATTCTGTTGCTAATTACATAGGGGAAACAATTCAGTGGTCTTTACTTCATAGCTCTTTGGTAAATCTTTGTGAAATGAATCCAAGAGTCTTTGATCATACAATGTTGACGATGGCCTCTGCCATTCATGTTTTATTGAGAAGGCTTGGCTTCCTTGTATTAACTGCAAATCTTTCTGCAAAAAATTAAAATATAATTTTCATGAAAGTAATGGCATTTGTATGGAACATGGAAATAGCATGAGCCATGGCCATTCATGTGAGAAAATAAGAGTGTTTCTGCCAGAGAATCCCAGTCTGCTTATGAAAGTAGCAAGGAAAAAAAAGGGTCTTAAAGGGTAAATTCAGGTCATGTTGCAAAGTCTGTGTACAAGCAGATTTATTTTTTTTCTGTACAGAGCCAACGGAGTATACTTTAGCAGGTGAGTGAGATTATGAAAACCCTATTGGATGGAGGTAGGACGTGGTTTGATGTGCTATAGATGGAAAGCAGAGAGACAACATATTAGACACTGCAGGCATGAGGTCCTTAGGGGCTGATCTAGGCAGGTGGGAGAGGAAAGGACAAATGTGAGAAATATTTATGAGGAGAAAGTTAATAGAATTAGTGTTTATTGGATATAAAGGTTGCAAGACAAAGGGGAATTAGAAATAAACAACTTCGAAGTTTTAAGCATGACTGGTTAGGAAAAGAATATTAAGAATTGCTGGTTTTGTGGATAAGAGGATGAGTTTAGGAAATTATGTATTTGAATTGATGGTTGTAGGTAGTATGTATTTAATTCTTTTGCTAATATATAATTCTTATTTAGAAAGAGGCTATATGTTCAAAGAAGTCACATTCACAATTTCCTTTCAGTTTTCACTTTCATTCCTTTAGGAATTTGTCAGAACATTGAAAGAACTGTCAAGAAATGATTTTGTTTGTTCACTCATTCAGAAGGCAAACATGTATAGATGATGTACGATATATCAAATACTTTGGTTACTGAAATAGAGAAATGCAAAAGTTGCAGTCTTTATTGTCAAGGAACCTCAGAGTTTAAATGGGGGTTACTTAACACTTGCAGCATTATTAAAGCATTCTGAATATAAAGAATTGAGTGATCAATTGGATGAACTTTGTACCTTTGTTTCAAAGCATGAACTTTTTCAATGGGTGTTTTTAGTAGTATGTTGTATTCAATATCACTGATGGAAAGAGTTTAAGTTGTGTTATACTATAAGTGTATCATTAAGGAAGGTTTTACCTTATTAACATAAGAAAAATTGAGTCTTTGAAGAATAGCAAAGAAACAAGTGTTTAGGATTTTTTAAAAAAGATATATAAGTAAAATTTATTTTACCCTTTAGAAAGACAAAGAGAATGAGAGAGATGGGAGCAGGGAAGAGAGCAGAGAGACTGATGTGGCATCCCAAAGAAAGAGAAGGGAGATGCCAGCTCTGTTTAGCATTTTTAAATGTTTGTTTTAATATGCATGCTCTTCACTTAAAAACATTTTAATATATAGTCATTGTAGCATAGAAATATATAGAGTTTGAATTGAACAGTCACCTCTTTTTCCTAGTATCACTCCCTAGAAGTAATCACTTTTAAAAGTTCACTTTTTAGGCCAGGTACAATGGCTCATGCCTGTAATCCCAGCACTTTGGTAGGCTAGGTGGGAAGATCACTTGAGTCCAGGAGTTTGAGGTTGCAAGTGAGCTATGAGGATGTCACTGCACTCTAGCCCAGGCAACAGAGCAAAACCCTGTCTCAAAAAAAAGTTAATTTTTTAAAATCACCACCTCTTTTTCCTAGTATCACTCCTAGAAGTAATCACTTTTAAGAGTCTTGTTTACTTTTAAATGCGGGTAACATACTGATACATGATCATTGTTACATAACATTGCAGTTGTTTTTTCCACTTGATGTGTCATTGTTATCTTTTTATACATGTAGATCACCTAATTCTATATGTGTAGGCTACTATTCCATTGTCATTTTGAACAGCACCACAGTAAACAATTGTGCTCACACAGTGTTAATATTTCTGTAGACTACATTCTCAGAAGTATAGTGTACATTGTAAAATTTTTGACTTTACCAATTTTTGACTTTACCTCCCTGCCAGAGGTTTACCAGGCTACGCTCTTGCCAACATGTCAGCACTCTTCTCTCCCTTTCCCTTGGCAACACTAGGTGCTCATTTCTATTCCCCTCTCCCCTTCTGTCCTCCATCTTCCATCTCTTCCTCTTTTCACTCCCTCTCTTTCTACTCTCCCTCCCCCCTCTGAACCCCTTTCCCCATGTTCTCCACCTTTCTTTGACTTGTGTTTATTGACCTAGTCAATTTATTGTTCACTTTGTTTTTCTAAGTTTTTTCTTACTGGTTTGTAGGAACTCTTTCTTATGTATATTAACTCTTTGCATGTATTTTCCCCACATACTTTATGCTCACATGTGGTATCTTTAATCAGGGAGAAATTTTTATGTCAAATATGTCAGTCTTTCTTACTTGCAGATTATAAATATATTTTTATGTTTTCCTTTTTACTTTATGTGCATATCTTTAATCAATAAGGAATTTATATATGATACACCATAGACATATGATAGAGCCTTTTCCTCAAATGAATTGCCAGTATTCCCAGTACTATGTGTTGAATAACCCATCCTTTTCCCACTTATTTGAAACACTTCTGCATATACTGAATTCCTATTTATTACTTTATATAATATATATATTACTACATATCTTTCCATATGTTCAACTCTTATTAATTCCCATATGTAACATACATATAAGTATATTCCTACTAATTGGTCCATTTGCAGATGCTCTATTTTAATTCATTGAGCTACCGTGCCATTACCACTTTTAAATTTATTCCAGCTTTATAGGAGGTCTTGATATCTGGTAGTTTAGGTCCCCTATCATTATTCTTAATTTAAAAATTTGATTGGTCATTCTCTTGCATTTACTCTTCCAGATGAACTTCACCATCAACTTGGCATCTTTCCCCCCAAAATAGTCCCATTGGATTTGTACTACCAGATCATTCTTTTTTTGTTATGTATTCTTGAAAAACTTATTTGCATGACACTTAAATAGAAAACACTGGGTTCAAGGCAAGGTAAGGTACTTCCTGTTACTATCTATCTATGTCTAGGTGCATGTTTATTGTAGTACTTCTTGATCCCATAATCACCTAAAGTCACTTAAAACTACAAGAGGTCAATGGGTGCAAAACTATCCAGTCATACTAAAAGCATTGCAGTAAACATGTACTGACTACAAACTTTAGCAATTATATTTAACAATATTTCTTTCAAGGATATTTAATTATAGAAATAATAAGGTAATTTTATAGAATAAAGGTTAGATTTTTTTTAGTTTGAGAATATTTTTTAATGCTTGTACATATATAATATGTATTACAACATTATTGTGGGGTATGGTATATTTTGCAGATGGGGTATACTCAGCCTCTGGAATATCTGATACTAGGTCCAGGCTCAAGTTCTGTGAATTTTCTGGTGGCAGA